GATCTTGCTGGCCCTCTTTTGGCAAGTCTTTTTAGAATGCTTTTTAAAAAATTAACAAAAGATGTTTATAAATATATGCAAAAATGTGTCGAAACAAATAGAGAATTTAACTTGACTCTTGCAGTAAAATCAAATACAATAACACATGGATTAAGATATTCGTTAGCAACAGGTAATTGGGGTGACCAAAAAAAAGTTATGTCAGCAAGAGTTGGTGTTTCTCAAGTTTTGAATAGATATACATTTGCATCAACATTATCTCATTTACGTCGTACAAATACCCCAATTGGTAGAGATGGAAAAGTTGCAAAACCTCGTCAACTTCATAATACACACTGGGGATTAGTCTGTCCAGCTGAAACACCGGAAGGTCAAGCATGTGGTCTAGTAAAAAACCTATCACTTATGTCATATGTGTCAGTAGGCAGTCCTTCAGCTCCTATTATTGAATTTTTAGAAGAATGGGGAATGGAAACTCTCGAGGATTATAATCCTAATACAACGCCAAATACTACAAAAGTATTTGTTAACGGTGTTTGGCTTGGGGTTCATCGTGATCCTTATCATTTGGTTGAAACTATAAAAAGTCTTAGACGAAAACTTGATATTAGCGCAGAAGTAAGCGTAGTTAGAGATATACGGGAAAAAGAATTACGTATATTTACAGATGCCGGAAGAGTATGCCGACCTCTTTTTATTGTTGACAATAACCCAGAAAGTGATCATAGAGGTCAATTAATGCTAAAGAAAGAACATGTACAAAAAATTATAGATAGTAAAAATAGAACTGACATTGACAATGAATCAAGATTTGGGTGGAGTAGTCTTGTTGCTAATGGTATTGTAGAGTACATTGATGCAGAAGAAGAAGAAACTATTATGATTGCAATGACCCCAGAAGACTTAGAAACAACTCGTCAAATGCAAGCAGGATATAAGATTGCAGATGAAATTGACCCTGCACGTCGTGTAAAACTTTCAATTAATCCAAATACACATTTATGGACACACTGTGAAATTCATCCAAGTATGATTCTTGGGATATGTGCAAGCATAATTCCATTTCCGGATCACAATCAAGTTTCATTATTTTATTTTCAAATAACATATATTAATTTTTATAGTCTCCTCGTAACACTTACCAATCTGCAATGGGAAAACAAGCTATAGGAGTTTTTCTTACTAATTACCAAGTAAGGATGGACACAATGGCAAACATTTTGTACTATCCACAAAAGCCCCTTGCTACAACAAGATCAATGGAATATCTTCGATTTAGAGAACTTCCTGCAGGTCAAAATGCAATTGTCGCGATTTTATGTTATAGCGGTTATAATCAAGAAGATTCAGTAATTATGAATCAAAGTAGTATTGATAGAGGATTATTTAGAAGTATGTTTTATCGAAGTTATATGGATCAAGAAAAAAAAATAGGAATGCAAATTATGGAAGAATTTGAAAAACCAATGCGTAGTAATTGTCTAAAATTAAAACATGGTACATATGATAAAATCGAAGATGATGGATTGATAGCACCTGGAACTAGAGTTTCAGGAGAAGATATTATAATAGGAAAAACTGCACCTATTCCCCCAAATGCAGAAGAACTAGGCCAGAGAACTAAATTTCATACCAAACGTGATGTATCCACGCCTCTTCGAAGTACAGAAAGTGGAATTATTGACCAAGTAATGGTATCTACTAATGCTGAAGGTCTTAAATTTGTGAAAGTTCGTATGCGTTCAACAAGAGTTCCTCAAATAGGTGATAAATTTGCATCAAGACATGGACAAAAAGTTGTTTTTATCTCTTATATTATTTATTTTATTTAAATTTTTAGGGTACAATTGGTATTACATATCGTCATGAAGATATGCCTTTTACATCAGAAGGAATTGTTCCTGATATCAGTATATCTAAATCCAAATTATATATATAATACTAATACCTTATTAGTTATAAATCCACATGCGATTCCTAGTCGGATGACTGTAGCACACTTAATAGAATGTTTACTAAGTAAAGTTTCTGCATTAAGCGGTTACGAAGGAGATGCAACTCCATTTACGTATTTAATAATAAAAAACTTATTTGCTTTCTAAATTTATCAAGGGATGTTACAGTCGAGGCTATTTCTAAAATGTTGCGTCAGCATGGATATCAATCTAGAGGTTTCGAAGTAATGTATAATGGTCATACTGGGCGGAAATTAGTAGCTCAGGTTTTCTTGGGTCGTAAGTTTTCCTTAAATTTATAAAAATCCTTTTAAGAATTTAGCTACATATTATCAAAGATTAAAGCATATGGTAAAATGACATACTAAAAAACAAATATTTTTAACTTTGTAGGTCGAAGACAAAATACATGCTAGAGCTAGAGGCCCAGTACAAATCCTGACACGTCAACCAGTAGGGGGAAGATCGAGAGATGGGGGTTTGCGTTTTGGGGAAATGGAAAGAGTATATTTTCTATATATAAATTTCATGCTTTTAACATTTAATTAGGATTGGTAAATATATATATTATATAGTACAAGCATTTGATTTTCTTCAGTATGATAAGTCATGGGGCTTCTTCATTTTTAAAAGAAAGGTAAAACTTTTTCAATTAGAATTAAAAATCTAATTATTTAGGCTTTTTGATGCAAGGTTCTATAAACATGTAGTTATCAATATTAAATTAATTAACGTAGCGATGCATATCGACTTCATATTTGTGATATTTGTGGTCTTGCTGCTATAGCAAATCTGAAAAAGAATCAATTCGAATGTCGTATATGTCATAATAAAACCAATATATCACAAGTATAACTTTTATCTTATAAAAACACCATATTTACTATTTACTTAGATTCATTTACCATATTCAGCAAAACTTCTGTTTGTTCATTTATTTGACTTGTACCTTCTAATATTTATAGATTCCAAGAATTGATGTCAATGAACATTGCTCCAAGATTATATACTAATCGAAATTAAAAACGATTAACAGAAAAATGCATATGTATATCAAAAATTCATGATTTTCAAACATACATCAATTTATACTATATATAGTTTCCATTATATGTATATTTTATAACAATAAACTATACAAAACAACTTTTAATTAGTAATCCAAAACACTTATTCAATGTTTAAAATTAATGTTATTTTGTATCACTATCTTTAAATTATAAATTTTACTAAAAATATAATAAAAAATAACATTAAATTTTCAAATGAAATCCATCATTTCTTATATTAAATCTTAGTATAATGGAATATTTTAGATAAATAAATATCTAAGATATAAATATCTAAATAATTAAATAAATTTAAAGAAATTTAAAAAAATTTAATATTTATTAATATAAAAAATTATAATTTGTTTACGTTTCTAATTTCTCGATTATAATTACACAAAATAAAATGTTTAGCATATGAGTAATTCAGAAAGGGATTTACCATCTGGAATCCTCTATATTAATAATGCACTTGCTTCACGAGGGTTACTGCCTGATGGGAATCAACGAATTCTACATTTCAATTCTTCAGACTCTCATGAAGTAATCAAAATTATTTACGATCTTTTAGAAAAAAGAGATAAAGATTTAGTAATACATGAGAGTAAAAACTTTTTGTTTATATTTATATTATTAATATACATAAGATTATCTTGAAAGACTAAAAGAAATTCAGTCTCAAAATGAAAAATATTCTCGTCAGCTGGTAAAAAAAGAAATATAATTTATCAATAATAAAGTTTAATATTTAGAATAACATGAAATCGAAACTAGAGAAGACTGAAAAAGAAATAGATACATTAAAAAAAAAATTAGAGTATTTAATAATAATATTTTATAAAATTACTAAAGAAATAGTTATGCAAATCAAGAACTTTCAACTGCATTGACCGAAAAAAAATCAACAAAAGATTATATATCGAAAATAAAAAGTTCTTTAGTATATATGAAATCACATTATGCAGTATATTTAAAATAATTTCGAAATAACTTAATGTTTTATAGAATGACCTTCGAAAAAGAGACATGCAAGTATCAAAATTAAAAGAGTACCTTTTAGGTTCAGAATTATCTAAAAAAAATAAAAATTTATCAACAATGCAAGTACAAACAAATTCAATTTCACATAAAGGCCCGTTATATACACCCTCTTTAACAATAGAGGACTTAACTATAAATGAAAAACTATCTGAAGAAGCATTTTCTAATCTCGTTTTCCTTTCTAAAGAAGTTTCAAATACAAATATACAACTTAATAGTATAATTTTTCAGGTATTATCTGATCTCGATTATCTTATTGGAACAAAAGTAGATCAAGAACCATTGTTTTCTTCCTCTACTGGTTCTCCTATACTTCTAGAAGCACAGTTACAAGTTAGACTAAAGATGCTATCTGATATTCTATTTCAATCAAATAATAATACACCGTTAGCAGAAACACAAACAAAGGATCAAGAAATATACTTTCTAAAACAAGAAATACAAAAAATCAATAACAATTGGACTAATACAAAAGAATTTTTAAACAATTTTCAAGAATCTATATTCAAAAATAAAAATAGCTCTTTTAAAGAATGCCAGGAAAATCAAATAAATGTGGAAGATATTTCCAATAAAAATATTTTACATGTGTTTCAAGAAAAAGAAGACTCAATAAATGATTGTGAATTATTATTGATGGAACAAAATAACAAAATAGAATCTTTTAATAATTCAAAAACTGTTCTTCATGCTAATGCATCATTTGAAAAAGAAAATGCTTTGCAACAGGAACTTGAAGAAGTCCTTGGTTTACTTCCTAAAACTCCAATTTAAAAACAAATAAATAATTTATAAGATGAATCATATATACTAAAATTTTTTCTAATATTCAAAACATTGAAAATTATAGTTACATTAATACAAAAATCTTAAATATATAGAATAATAATTCCTGATTTATTTTTATTTCAAAACTTTAATTCTTGAAATATTCATTAAGTTTACATAGTAAAAACGACCACGATGGGACTCGAACCCACAACCTCCGGATAACTACAAGTGAAAACACTGCCGGATTCCGATACGCTAAACCATTGCGCCACGCGGCCACTCTAAGAGCAGAATATTATATTAAGATATAAAAATAACAATATTTTTAAATTTTTGAAAATTATAAAATTTTAAATAATTCTGTTATTATAATCCTAACTAAATAAATTTAGATAATTTAAAACGCAATTTTAACAACAAATAAATACAAGCATAAATATTTCAATTTTTAGCTTATATTTTAATATTAATGATTTATTGCAACTAAAGAGTTAATATATCTTGACGAATATTCACGAAACTAGATTCACTAGATCCTTTTTTCCCCAACTCATTTACTACTACAGATGTGTATTGAATAAGTCTTTCCAAAGAGGATCTAGACGATTTTCCAAGAAAGACTATTTATTAAAACCACAAAATATTCAAAGAATTTTTTTACCTAAAATAGCTTTATTCAATTCCTCGGCAACTACCTGCCGAACATCTTCATCTAATAAATAAGATACAGAACTATTTTTTGGATCTGAATAAGCAAGTAAACTAAATGTATCTTCCAAAGTTTTCCGAACATCACTTCTATTATCATCACGATACTCTTCTTGAAGTTGTTGTCCGTATTCAAGTATTTTTGAAAGCAGAAACCTAGTATTTTTCTTTTTTAAATCTGAATATTCAACTGATGAATTTTCTAACAAATCATAACTAGAACTACCATTATCGCAAACACCAGAGACATCTGTCATTATTTCATCATCATTCTCATTCGCAGATTCTGAACATTGTCGCATCATTTCAACAAATTTATGACATTTCAGTTTAAAATAAACAGATTCATTAGTTTCTAATAAACAAGGATAAAAAATATTTGTCAATTTTAATGCAAGATCTATATCGCCGTTCAATATTGCAGATCTAATATCTTAAAAATGTAAATCAAGTGAATAACAACAGAAATAACCTAACGTTGACGATTCATTAAATCTGTATCATCAATATTTATAGATTGCATAATATAGTTTTTATCTGTATTGCTAAATATTTTTTCTCTATTTTCAAGATCTTGAACAAAAGTTTTTAAAGATTCCATATAACCATTATGGAAAAGATAAGACGCTATGAGATTATCCGCAATACTAAATATACTGGACTCATTATACTCTTTATCTTCAAAGGATGGCCAAGAGTTGATACTTTGATAAGCTTTTATTTTTTCCATCTAAAATATTTGAAAAAATTATATAAATCATTAGACTACACTTTTTACCCTCATATATTGCTCAATATCAAAAACAAAAGGCTTTTTCCCAAAATTTGCTCGAATATGTTCACCTAAAGTTCTCAAACCAACTGAAGGATAAAATGTACCCTTAAGATCACGGAATGCCACGCCTAATATTTATCATATACAATCATATATATAAAAACATTGTATACCAAGATGGACTCCATTTTTTGTATAAAACCCAATTCCAGATGAAAAATTAATACCACAGCCTACAATATCCCCTTTAGTAAATTTCGGCCCATATTCTTTACCTATCCCTTGACAACAAAAAGAATGTCCATCATCGCCATGATACCCCCAAGAATCGGACTCCCATCCAGGCAATCTATTTAAAGGAACAGTAGATTTACAAAATCCAATACCAATAAGTCTTAGAAATTAAGTAAAAATTACACCAAAAAATAATCTAACCCTTCATAGCCTTTAGAAAGAATTTCAATTTCGTAATAGTAAAGACCACATCGTGCAGGAATGGGATTATTTGTTCTCACTGAAGCAGCATCTTGCTCTACACCCTTAGCTGGTCCTTAATATGTTTTTAAAAAAAAGAAAAAAGATCAAATTAATCCATCTACCCACAAATTTAACTTCTAAACCATTGCCAACTAAAGATAAAAGATTGCATTTATCATCTTCATTCCATGAAGATGGGAGTTCTGAAAAATCAGAACCAATACCTATATATCAAAAAATTCGTTTAATTATTTTTATAACCAAAGGTTTTACCATGACGTAAAAAAGACATATATTGCGCTTCATACTGCTCAGCAAAAGCAGTTCCTCGTAAATATGCAGGAATAAAAGGCTCTGTAGTTTCTAATTGAGGCATATGCAAAACATTAATTGACGTCATTTAAAATTCTAAACAGTACTATAAAAATCAATTAAATATATACAAGATGAAATTATATGTCTAAATATACCATATATATTATTCAAAATATAATATTCAATTTTTCCCTGGAGAAATTAAAATTATATAAAATTAAACGGTAACAAACATTTTTATAGTTTTTAAATTTGAATAAAACCGGGATTAAACGTTAAAAAGCTCAAGATATTAAATTTAAAGTAAAACAATGATTCTTAAGAATATTTAAAACTAGGAACTTATGGAAACACATATAATTTCAAAATCACAATCTTCATTGTCAATTCCATTGTCAGAAAATATGTTGTTATCCACACAAGGAAATATGGCAGATAATGTTATTCCAAAACACAATATTCCTCAGACTATTACAAAACCAAGCAATTCTAAACAGCAATCTCGTATTTTAAAATTTAAAGTTAATATATCACGTTTAGCCTTACAATCAGAATTATCAATGACACCAGTATCATCTCCTTTACCTATGTCTTCGCCTCTGCTTGCTAGCTCTCCAATTTCGAATACAATAAATAATGAAAATACAATAAAAAAACCAGGAAAAAAAGCGCGTGTCTCTAACAACACAGGTCCTAAATCTATTCGAAAAAGAAAAGCAGAAGAAACAACAGTTATAGTAATAAAGTAAATAAAAATAACAGATTACTAGAAATTAATTTATTTATAGCGTTGGTGATACATCTCAAAAACATCAAGGCAACCATAATTTAGTTAATGGATCAAAGGCTATAACAACACCTTTACTGCCATCCAAATTAGGACCCAAAGCCAATACTGGTGCAATAAATGCAGGACTAAGAGCATTAGATCGTACAGGCAAACCATGTAGGAAATGGATCAAAAGAAAAATAACTATAGACTGCATAAGCGGAATAAAATGGGAAATCAATGGGTGGAAAGATAATTCAGCATTATAAAATACTATAAATGCTTAAGGAAATGGCATTGTAAATTTATAAAATATAATAAACATTGAGATTTTCAAACTAATCGGATGCTCCTGCGCTAATCTTTACATAGTACTATCCAATAAAGCAATAATGGATTGCATATTAAAGAAGCAAAAAAACCGATGTCATTAAATTTAAACACACTACTTATATAAACTCTAAATAACTATAAATTCTTACTTGACATACTCACTGACATAAGTATTAAGTATTAAAGACCCATTGCCCCAATTATCCTCAAAAAGAGCAGAAAACAATCATCAATCGTCTACTTCTCTATATCGCTGCATTAGTAATCGTTTATATTCTACTGGGTCTTTAGCCCAGAGCTCCGCAGCTTGTGCATTTAGTGGAGACCTATAAATTTATTTCATTTTATACAATAACTTGAACAATACTTACGCATTATTTGGCTCGCCCAAAAGACTTTGTAAGCTTAAAAGAATGGTCTGAACATTATAAACAGCAGACCATTTATCCTAAAAAAGTATAGTCATGATCTATTAAGCATTTCTCAAGACTTACCTTAAGAATATCTAAACAAATATTACCACTCATGTCAACATTTGGATGCCACATTGGTGATGTAAATGTAATAGTGGGAGCGGTATATGGATAATTTGGCGGAAAAATTAATGAAATCTTGAATGTTAAAGACTCATAATACTATTTCATAAATGAATCAAATCAGATGCATCTATTTTTAGAACATACTGTTCCTGCAGGACCAACAATTGTACCCGCCCAATGAAGAAGATTTGAATCAGAATCAGGAAAAGCAGAAATCCCAGGGATATTTGATGTCTAAAAATAATATTAGTCCATATAACGAAATAAAATACAAATCTATTTAAAATATAAATCATCAACAAAACACTTACCATTAATGCCATTAACTCATTTTGAAGTCTTTTAAGATATGCGTTAGAAAAATACAGAAAAACCTACAATAACACTCACCGTTTTGTTACACTATGCCCATTAAGAACAGTTCCTGATGATCTGTTTAATTTTATAGATGAACGATCATGATCTACAGGTGCTGTATTCTGAGCATCCATAACACTTTTTCTAATCAATACTTTTCTCTTAAATCATTTAAAAACGTTTTTAATTTCTTTACCTTTCTGATCTTTTATTCCAGCACCAGATCCCTGTCCTAAAAATCTTTTTTTCTGATTTCTACTCCAATCTTCTTTTTTACAATACTCTTTTTTATTTCAAATACTTAGTTAGTTCTATCTATTCTTATTAACTTTTAATTTTCAACTCTTCCTCGTAGCTTAAATTGCTAATGTTTTGATAATTTCGAAAAAAGCAATTAATAAGATAACGTATTAACGTTAATATTGAAAGGCAGGTAGCGACAGCCGGAAACGGTAGACTACATAAACCCTAAACTAATAAAAGTCATGCATATTAAAGCATTACTAATAAGCATTAATTATAAGTTTAAGAGTCATAATGTTATGATATTAAAAATAGTAAAAAGGGATAATTGTTTAAAACAAATTATACTATAAATAACTTCTAAATTTATTCATAAAATTTTAAAAATCATAAATAACTTAAATAAAGATAGAAACTTAGTATATTTCAAAACGTAACTTTAAAATAAAAATGACAAGTATAATATGTATGAAAAAACATTAAGAGACTATAAATGCAAAAAACATTGCTAGATGAAGAGCTTCCAGAAGATTTACCATTCTATCCAGGACAAATTATTGGTACAGGAGCGTTTTCTGTGTATGTACTCTATATTACTTTCTACAATACTTTATAACATGAATTTCAGGGTTCGACTTTGTCGGGATCTCTACTCTAAAGATATTTTTGCTGTTAAATTTATACATAAAAATTTAGCTATTATAAACGCAGTTACAAAAAAACAGATTGCATGTGAAGTTGCCCTTCATAGACTTTGTACAT